ATTTTAAACAATTTCCAAAAATAATTGATTTGCAAAATAAAATCCTAAATATAAACATTCAGATACAAAGGCTTAGGAACAGTGAGCCACATGGTGGTGAACAATCTAAAGTGAATTTAACCCAAACCACCAGCAGTAGGGCTCTCTTTTGACCTGTACTTCCAGCTGCATAGCATCAACATCTAACAATATTGTGCTCCAAACCAGTAGATGGCAACACATGTAATTCACTTTTTATTTTAAAATTTTGCAGGACAGTTGGATAGAAAAATACTGTTTGATGGCACAATCGCTGAGAAGATGTTCTCTGCACTGTACCACACACTATCATGTTTCAGCATCATCATAGTTGATGCTAATCTAGGAAAAGGTGAAGATCTTTTCCTATATCTTCAACTTTCTAGGAAAGGTGAAACAGCATGTTTTCTGTTACTTGACTAATTATAATTGATATTCTGATTTCCAGGATTCTGGAACTTGCAAGTCAGACAAAGTGAATGTTTAGCAGCTCCACTCAGACTCTACAAATAACGGCTGGCTTTTCCACCCTGGCCGTGCACCCTCCCACTCACGAACACACAGAGTAAACCAACAGTGAAGTTAACATGGCAACCTTGTCAATACAGGCAAAGAAAATGGACATTTAATTGTAGGGCAATCAAGCCTGAGAGCTTAATGGGACTTTTATAGCTTTCAGCTGCTCCACCACCTTCCCTCCTTTCTTCCCCATCCCATGTTTTTCTTTTTTCTCTTCCTTTTTTAAGCAGCTAAAAAGACATCTGCATTGCTCTTTTCCACCACATTTCCATTTCGTCCGCTCCTCAAACTGAAATGACTAAGCATCAGGCATCTATTTTCCATTAAAAGGAACTGTTTCTTAGTTGCTTGTAGTTCCTTGATTTTCGAGGAACTACAGACACAATCTGGGCCATTGGGCCCAGATGATCGAGGTACTGACTCAGTACCTCTGACTCGTTTCTCGGACCCTGCCCTTATTTTATCAGGGACGCTTTTGTTGCGCTACAGGATATGGTTTGTAACACAGAAGCAGAAAATGCTTCTAAATAAACAAGCCAAGAGTCCTTACTATCCTCCTGGCTCCCCCTGACTTCCCCATGGTCGCCCCAGCTCTCAATTTGTCTTTAAAATTAAAGGAGAGGAGAAAGAAGACAGATTTTTGCTTCTATTTTTTTTACATTTACTACCAGAACCAGAGACTGTTTTTATTCTCTTCTGTTATTGTACAATATATGTCATTCAAAAGAACGTAATCAGAGCTTCTTTATTGACCTCAAAAGCAAGAAAATATTTCATTGGTAAACATCTAATTCATAAATCATTGAAGCATTTAAGACATCCGAATGAAGCACCATGGCATTCATTACAGGAACTGATCTAACGCAGCTTACACACACACACATACACACACACACATACACACACACACCCCCCCCCCACACACACACACACACACACACACAATCAGTACAATACAGACTGGTGATAAGCATGAATCCAGTCAGTGCACTTAAAACAATTTATGCTCAGTAATTGTTCAGACAAAACCACTCACTGCATTGACATTTTTATAATTACCTTTCTGTTATGTTGCTCTTTTCTCAGGCACGCTGCCTTCAGGGACTAAAGGGTTTTCACAGAATTAAGGTTTTTCTTGGCTACTGCTGCAGTGAGGTGTAGGAAACCAAACAGCAAGTTTTCAGTCTGGAGCCGAGATGCCTTTAAATTGAGGAAAGTTTATGTTCAACAAGCTAAGACCTACTGCTTTGGTCTGTGAAAGCAGAACATATAAATATTTTATAAATATCTGTGTAAGTGATTAAGAAAGGTAAAGAAAAGTAATAGACCCTTCTAACTCACTATTTGATTGGATTTGCTTGGTTTCTTTCTCTCTCCATGAAGCTATCTGCCATTGGCTCCACTTCACCTGCAGAATTTGGACAGTCCTTGACATCGCCACCATGATGTTTGAAAAACAATTGCAGTTTTATGAAAGATGGATACATGCATCCATCCATCTTTCCATCCATTCATCTATTAACTCATTGGGCCAATCATCTATCTATCAATCCATCCATTTATCCATCTGTCCAACCATCATTGCAGAGTTCTGGGGGGCTGCTGTCGATGACCAGGGGTCCTCCCTACATGGGTCTACAGACCATCTTAAGGCAAGCTATATATTCATAACTGAAGTAATGAATATTCCTCACACAGATTTTATGTTCAAAGTCACATTCCTACATGAAACATACAAGCCTTCATTACAAATTAGGTGACATCTAGAGTTGCACATTAGCTTGTTCAACCTGTCCCACCCATAGCCATAGTAAACACACAGCAGGACTGACGATCATTGTGCTGCAGAGTCCTGACTTTGACACAAGGACATGGCAGGCACACATTTGTCACAGATGCAGCATTTTTCTGCTTCACTGATCCTTTCACACTTAATAATGTCAGGAAACCTCCACAAAAATGAGAACATTTTTATAGCTTCCATCTGAAAGTAAAGTCAGATTCTGGATTTTAGGAATCTAACAAAAATCATTGTTCATTAACATCAAATGTATGTTTTTAAACATGCTTTACCAAGTACTCGTCACATTAATGCCTTCATTTTATATTGGTTCTCATTGTCGTAGACTAAACTCACATAATTTTGTTTTCGGCCTCATGGAGTCTGTCCCCTTTTCCAAAACTGTTGTGTGACTGGTTTGAATTTCATGGTTGTGTTTAACAGTGCTAATCAACTTCTCTGAGCTGCTGTTTAGACTATGTGTTTAAGCTTGGATCGTCAGGTAGCAGAAATTGTCAGAAAACTGCTTTTTCGTTCAGAGAGAAGATTTCGAGGAGCAATTGTAGAAATCCTCAAGGATGTTAAGCCCCCCTCCCCCCCTACTCAGTTTTGGTCCAGTCCAGCAGGACCAATCACCCTCTATTTTTTTCCAATAATGTTGAAAATAAAATCAGATGTTCCAGCCCATTAATTATTTTGTCCTCTTCCAAACTTGTAAAAGTTGTTCCTCTGCCTTGATTGCTGTTTACTGTGCTGCTGTAAATCACACAACAAAACACTATCCATCTCCAAAACAAATAGCCACCCTTCTCAATACTCACATACTAATACACTCCCCCTTCTCCAATACAAACTCACACCCTATTTGTCAACCCTCATACACATACACGCATACATCTCCCCATCTTTAGTTGCACAAACTGAGGACTTATTTGCCTCAGTTTCCATTTTGATAATGCATATTGAACATTCCTTCTAACTTATTTTACCTAGCACTTTTATGAATCCTTTACATGCTCCCTTTAATTGCCTTTTGAGGATAAAGGTCTTTAATTTAGTTTAATTCTGATAAAAGGGCAGCGTGATTCTCATTCCCACAGTATGATGGCTCTGAATTTTGCTTTGTCCAGTCCTACAATGTTCTATCTAAGAGTGAATTGGTTCAGATTAAGTCATGGAATTGCTCTCTGGGGTCTTAAGATGGTTGTTTCTGTATCAGGACATGGGTGATACATCACTTCCTTCATGGGCCTTTGTGACCATGCCTGCTCAGAGCACACAGGGGAGAAATGTTGGGATGATAATTTGTATAACGCTGACCACAATACAGTAGGGTAGATAAGGAAGAAGTTTCTAGCATGGCCAGTAGTAACATGAAAAATGGGCTTTAAACCATCAGTGTGTGCAAATCTAACATTGCTTCCTAAACTGTAAACTCAATCAAGTACAGACATGACATTCTTCCTTCACCTGGAAGGCCCTCCTGGAGGTTTCCTTATTTAGTTATATGTTAAAGAACCACATTCAGCAGCCATGACTGCTAGCATGCATTCTGTGTGTGGAAAAATCTTTACTCCCACTTCTTTACTGTACTCTGAGTGGTCCACTGGATCACCTCAGTTCTTCATTCAGTTGAAGATCTGCTTGGATCATTGTCCTGTAATTAGAGGTCTGAACCACCATTAGGAGGTCATTTATCCCCACAGCCATCAAAACACAACTGTGGGCACCCAATAGCCTGGCTGATTGTACTGCTCTGCTTCTTGTATATGCAGACATGGTAATTTCTAGTATTCACATTTATTCAGTTTTTGTATTTTTTATTTTATCATTTTTGTACTATTTGGACAAAATTTAACAGTAATCTTGAATAATGAACCTTGAAGACCAGCACAGATGAGGAACTATTTACTAAAGCTATGGTTAAAGTCTAGCAAGTTGTTCTAGTTTTGACTACCTTTCTGTGTTACCCAATACCATACCTGAAGTATGGTATCATTTAACACCTACTTATGTACTATAGATATCCATAGAGTGCCATTTGTAAAATTACACAGTCAAAAATTAACAGCAATAAATTGGATTATTTAGGCAGTGTTCTGCCCAAGGCTGGAAGTTGGAAATGTCTAAATAATTTAGTTTACAAACTTCTACAGTATTGATTTATTGGTATTTTATTTTGTAGGAGAATTTTGAGATAGCAGTGCATTGTGGGTAGCAGAGGCAGTTGCAGGTAGGAATACTTGTTTGCAGAGCCTGCCTGTTAATGTATAAACTTCACCTCCTGTGTCGTCAATCTTTTCTTGCACCTCCGAAAACAATGGCTGTAAGTTCAATTTGTGTTCTGTTTGGTGTTATATGTTTTGTTAGTTTATTTTGAGATCGTTTTCCAAATGTGTTTATTCCAGTAAAGCATGTCCTGATAGTTTTTATTTACATAGTAACGGTTGCTAACGTGACTGTTTCTTAACTACAGCTAAGGTTAATTCTGTTCTGACACTAGAAGTTTATTCTGTGTATTTAGAGCTGATGCATATTTTTATTTTTCTGTTTCTTATAGTTTCATTCAACCTTTCATTGAGCTTCCACACCATTGTAGAAAATTGTAAGAAGACATAATAAAGGAGCAAGACGCTCAGCTTCCTGGCTCATGAGAATTGAGTTTGGCTTCTTAATCTACGTTAACATACACAGCGTATTTAACACATAGTGATAACAGTACAGGCAGTTATAAGATTTAAAAAAAATGGAAGTTCATTTTTCAAAGTCATATTTTCACCAAGTCAATAATTTATAAATGTCACAATTACCAACTAAATATTTAGTTAGCAAGCAAATATTTAGCCTCAAACTAAATATTTAGCTAATTGTTTAGCTTGCTAAATGCATATTTAGTTTGAAACTGTGACATTATAACCAAATGAATAATAAAGAAAATATGACTGAAGAATAAACCCCTATATTTCTCCTATGACAGACTAAACAAATTATTGCTGTTAATATTTGTCTGTTCAACTTTAAAAAACAGCACCTCATAGATAGCTAAAGTAGTCCAAGAGTCATTGTTAAATGAGCATCACAGATTTACTTCCACAAAATGTTCCATCAGTTCTGCTTTGATTGTTCAAAATGAATGCAGTTTCAAAAGATTCCTCCAAGCAATCTAATTCTCCAAGGGGAAGGTGGGAAGTAAAGCCAAGAAGATGAAGAATTGTCTCTGCTTGCATCAGTCACTGCCAAATCTCACAAACAGGCATGTTTTAAATGTTGCATTAATAACTTTGTTATCTTGTGAAGCTCTAGGGACAGACAAGGTCCTAATGTCAAGCCTGTGCCAAGTTCTCCAAGCAGAAGTCTGGGTAAAGAATCACTGCACACTAAATATGAACTAGTATTAGTGCGTTTTCACTGACTGTTCCTTTACGTTTCCCTGTCAACCATCTGGAAACAGAAGAGCACATTAACCACAAAAGAAATGGCTCCTTTGTATCTGAAGAGAAGAGAATGAGTTCAGGTTGGTGCTTGAAGGACAGGAGGCTCCCCATTTTCTGCACCTGGTCAGTGTGCAAAAGCCCCCTGAGGGGATTGAGGTCTAAATATAATTTGCGACAGCCTTCCTTCTTAGGCCCAGCCATCCTTAAAGCAGCCCTTCATTGTCACCTCTGTACTTGTCTAGCCAGCAACTCTGCTGTGCCCTTCCCCATAGCTGTACATTAGATTTAGTCCAAGTCCCATGGTGCAAGGAAGCTTGGAGGGAAAAATCTGATTTATCCTGAATTAAATGGATCTAATTGGTGGAATATTTTAACATTATGTGTAATGTTGTATCCTGTGTTGTTTTACTGTCTTTTAAACTGTTAAGCATTGTAAATTAGCAAGGGCTACATAGATGTTAGTATTCTGTATTTATATACCTAATTTATACACTAGTGTTCTATAGAAATATTTAACACAAATACATTAATAAGACGTTATTTAATAAACTTACTGAATTTAAGAGACTTTGAATAACAATATTTATAGCGACCTAAAAAAAGATAAAAACAAATATAGAAGACAGAATGAAAAAGAAAGACAAAGACAAAAATAGACAGCATGGAAATAAAAAGAAGGGAAAAATGTAAAAAAAAAAATTATTAAAGCAAGGCAGGGTTGATTCATTTCAACCACTCAATGTGCCTGAGAGATATTAAAATTAGATTTAAAATCAATTTCTAGAATCCAAATGAAAACGAGACAGGTATCATCTACTGTGGGAAATTTGTAGCCTTTTATAGTCTTGACCCCTTGGCTTCATACAGCTGTTCTTATGATAGTGCTTTTAAATTACCCAAACAAATGTTCTGAATTTTTTTCGTTTCAGTCTCTGTAGACTGATTTGAGATATAAGGGGAATCTGTTCCCTCAAAATTAACCCATGTGCACATTTTGTCTGCATATGTCTATCCAGCAAGTCCAAAATTAGCTTTATGTTCTCCAGGGAGTTTTGTTGCAGCCTTTCCTGGAGTATGAAAACACCAGCTTTCCCCCCACTCACTTTGTGATGCCAGTCTAACCACTTGTCAATTTCAGAGCTTAAGAAACAAAACCTCCAAGAGTCGTGACGAGAAACTTATGAAACCAAACAGTTTTACAGCATTTTAAGTCCTGCAGGGATTTACATGAGATTTCCTGGAACTCTTTATGCAAACCTTCCTCCATCTTTCAGCACAAAATATTACTTTGGTCCAGGTGTGTGTTTTATGCACATACATTTGCTAAACGTTTCAGTTTGGGATGTAATTCAGCCTAAATTTTCCAAGAGTAATTCTAGAAGATGAAGACTTTAGAAGATGAAGAGCTCCGTCAACAGATGGGAGTTACTATTTCAGTTTGCTCAACAAATCAATGGTAGACAGAAATCCTGGCTCATGTGGCAATGACTGGATATGAATTCAGTCATGGATCGACTTATACTGAGCTCCAATTTTCCCTCATTAAACAAATGCTTTCATTTAAATTTTCATCTGAGCATTTTCATCATTCTTCTAATCTAATGCAAGCAACCTCACCAATAATATAGCATCAGTGCAGTTATTTTAGTTAGGTTAGCATTTAAAAGAGATACATGCTTGAAATCAGTCTTCAGTTACAGCAAGTCTGGATGCTTAATTCCAATTTTTTTTATTTGTCATACTACTAATTAATTGCTAACAACCAGACTTCTGTGTGAACAGTTTAAGCACAAATCCGCATGTGCAGAAGTAGAACATAGATGTCAGACAGCAACACAGTTTACATAAGTAATGGATGTTATTCAGACACAAAATATGAACGTCTTTCATAATTTCATAATTATAATTTTCAGGTATTTCTTATGTTTAGATTTATTATGTCTGGCCTTTTGTGTCACATCTCACATCAATGGTGTAAAAGTCATTTAAAAATGCAACATAACTATTCAGATTGCAGGGATATGTATCTATATGTATCTATTCAGATACAATGGGATATGATTTATCTCCAAATATGGAAATGGCAAACATCTTGATTTTGTGGTGGTGAAAAGACTGGAAATGGGCTGTTCAGGCTGCCATGAAAAAAGTCAGATTTGACTCACATTCCCCTGCTCTGTGAATGTATTGTAACTGCTGCCAACCAGACAAAAGCATGCAGCCACCTTCACTATACACAATCTTACTACATTAGGTAATTCACAAGCATAAGTCTGACATAAAGCCCTATCAAAAACTAATTTTAATAGTAATAGTCTCAACATTTTTGTGAAATGTGAGATCAGTATCACTTAAACCCAATGTTTTCCAAAGGTTTTGGGGAAAACTAGTAATCACAATTAAGAATTAGCTAAAAAAAAAAAAAGGAGATTTGTTGATTTTGCGTGAACATCCACAATCGCGGAGTGTTTATGGTCATGTTACAGATTAACAAAAAAATTGTGAAATTTCTTGTATCTATTTTGTTTATTTTAAAGACAAAAACATGCCACACACCACACTGCAGAAAGAGCATTATTAATACATAATGCCTTCCAGACATAAAATGATTGTGTAATACTAACAGAATGCTTTAGAAATCTGCAATTCTATGTATGGGTAATAAAATATTCATGGAAGTACCAGTAGACAAAGAAAAAAGTATTGAACTTCCTCCTAAAGTTTAAAGGGTGCACATATTTTCAGTTAGTTTTGGTGTGGTAAATACCTGATCACAAAGCCAAACCATTTGGTAGTGGTAATCAAAACTCAAGATGCAATGTGGAACTGGCCAGATTATTACTACTGTCACCGTGGGGAGGGATGTTGGGGGTTTTCTGCAGGTAACAGCCCACAGCAACCAGAAAGAAGGGCAAGGAGATGGGGCTGAAGGGGAGGAAGAGAGAGGGACAAATCTGAGTGTTCATGATGGTCCATAGGCAATGAGTCAGATAGAAATAGAAACAGTCTCAGAGCTGCAGAGCTCACATGAGCTGCGCTAAAAGACCTTGGAGAAATATGGCCACCTATTATGTCTAAAAGATGTACCTCTAGGGGACGGAGGAAGGCGGCGGAGCAGGGAGCACTTCATTCTGGGAAAAGTAGCTGTTGAAGGCTTTTATCTTGGTAAAAATATCGACCCGTTCAGCACAGATTTCATTTTGGCTCTGGGGGAGAAGGGCAAATTGTTGACGTTGTTCTGAAACGTCTCCATGGTTGATTCACCACAATAACTTACAGTCCTGCTTGCATAAGGCAACTCCTGCAGCTCCTCAGTAGAAACAACATTCATGTCCAAAGTGTGGGATCATTTGCCTCTTTATGGAGAACTGTGACCTCACTAATGTGGCCTAGAAAATACATTTTTTAACAGTTAAGTCCTGTAGAAGGCAAATCTAAACTGCCATTGTTTCTACATTTGTTATTCAGATCAGGTTTATAAAATAACTGCATTTATTTGCACCAAGATGTCTTGTAAAAAACTTTAGGAATATTAAAACTCAGTTGTCATTACTGTAACTTTATATGGAAGCATTTACCTACAAAACCTTGAAAATAAATTCAGAAGAAGAATCTCATATCACAAAACTTTAATGTTTTAAAGAGACATAAAACTTGCTAAAACACTGGCATTTTCTCACTTTTGGGAGTGAGAAAATTCAGTCAATCAGTGGTGAGGAAAATAAGTGGCACTCCTGGATTGACTGCTTTGCCAATAGTGTGTTAAGTAGCATTGTACCTAGGTATTTCAGCTTCCACAACTACATTATCTTTTGAATGTTTCAGATTTGATCGATGAAAAAAAAATTCATGAATAATCTTGAGGTCCATAGAAAAACATGTGAATAATTGGTGGTGCACTGTAATTTGTAACTTCCATTACATTAGAAATACTCCAGGAAGAAACAAATTATTCTACTTCCATATGTTTATTACACATAGAATAGCTGATGCATCCTCACAATTTAGACTAGAGCAATGCAGCTCAGAGGTTAATGATCAAGTTAACATCTCGTTCTTGCTCAGTAGTGGATCTGGTCCTGCAGCCTGGCTGGGTATTTTCACATTGCTTCCCGTGGTGTCAACCAATCAATATCCCTCACTGAGAGCGAAAGGTTGTTCTGTACCCAGAACTGATGTAGACATGAGGAAATGCTGCTCATATTCATTCGCAAATACAGCTGAACATTAACTACATCGATGGAGTTATTGTTCCTGATAAAATGTAACAAACATCTAGCAGGACAATTATTCTGTAAATGTTGATTTAATATTTAGTTGTTGGTTTGAATCATGTTAAACTGTAATTATTATATATTGTTTTTAATTCATTCAACCCTTCCCTCAAGATAGGTGTAAGTTTAATACAAGTATTGGACATAACCATTCTTCAGTTCTCATTTATTCTTCTTCAGTCTCATTACATTAGCTTTGCCACCTTATCCAAGGTGAATGAGCAGAGGTCCAAACAATTATAAGGATGACCAACTCTGAGTGGGAAGGTGTCATCTCAGAAAGAGCATGGTACCTCAGCGGCTGTGAAAATGATGGCGTTAAGAGGAAACTTCACATAGTCTAAAACTCAGACTATTAAAGTTTATACTGCCTCTACTTATGAATCTAGCACATAGATGTACATATACATATGATTAGTGTTGATCACTTTTATGGTTTGCAGCAATTTTCTGACCCACATGTATGAAAAACTAATGCTTGAATGATCTGAATGGTTGAAGAAGATTAGTTTGGAGTCAGAGGGCAGTGAATAGAGTCCAGGGGTTGGTCAGTGTGGTGATCCTATGTTTCTGTGTGAATGAGTCCTGACTCCACAGTTTCCATTTCATTCTACCACAGTGGTTCCAAGTCCATGATTAGGTCATCTGGTTCTCATGACCTGGTTCTCATGTCATTTCCACCTCTGCTTCAGGGCATAAGTTCCTAACTTGTGTTGTTCTTTGTTGGATTCTTCCATAACTTTCAGTCCGGTTACCTTTAAGTTTCAGTTTTTATGGTTAGAACTCCATTTCCTCCGGTTCTGTATGATTTTGGGTCCAACTAATGTTTAACGTAACTAGGTAGTATCTACAGTTTCTGAACTGACCTCTTCAATTAGGAGTGGGAATCTTTTTTGATTTTCATTTCAGATATTCAGTGATTTCTATTTCAATCTATAGGTCTGCAAAGCATCTTCATGATCTATTACAGCAGTGGTCCCCAAAGTTGATCCTCAAGGGCCAGCATTCTGCATGTTTTACTTCTCTCCCTGGTGGTAGTAATAACCTTTTCAGCTTGTCAATGTTCTTCTTAGGTCTTCTAATGAGCCATCATTTGGTCCAGGTGCGCTAAACCAGGGAGTGAATAAAACATGCAGGATGTCGGCCCTCGAGGACCAACTTTGGGGACCTCTGTATTACAGTGTGCTTTGCAAGGCAGAGTGACAAGCGGAATCAAAGTGACTTTGCCACTCCCTCACTGCATCCTTCATTTTGTTTTTACGTAGAGGTCAGAGAGACACGTAAATATTTAGTTTCAAAATGTTTTTAAACTAAATATTTCGCTCCACACCAAATAGTTAGCAAGCTAGATATTTAGCCTCAAACTAGTTACCTTACTAATTATTTAGTTTGCAGAAAGATATTTAGTTTGTAAACTAAATAACCCCATTTTTTCCTACATAACTCCAATTTTTGCTGGTAACTTGCAACTACAAACGGCACCCCACAGTGAAACACCATGCAGAGAGTTTCTGACATTTATGTGATACAGATGTTTAATCTCCTGTCACTTCTCTGAATATTGTCTGTTCTTGGGTTTTTGCCTTTAAGTATATTGATTTTGTGTCTATGTGCAGTTTTTCTATTAACACTTTTATTATAGTAGTGAGATTACTAATGAGATCAGTATCTAATTCAATTTTTTTATCAAATTGTTAATACAGTGATTTGGAGAATAAACATGTTTTGTAATAAAATATATTGAATCCTTTCTGAGAAATATGCAATGAAGACTATAATTAAAATAATTCCTTCTTATGAGTTGATTATAGATGAGACTGATAATATAACTGATATGCAAATTTGATTAAGTTGCCTTTTCAATCACAACATTTAATGACTCACTGTTATTATTCACTACAGAATCTGTGGGCAAAAGGCTTCAAACAAAAGGAAATTTGAATTTTTCTGTCTCTACTTTCTCACTCAAACCAAGTTCAGTTTTCTAAGATGTCAGGGAATAATCTTTTGAAGGTTTTCTGTTGTGCTGCCAGATAGCATCAGCAGGTAGAAATCAATCAGAGCTGCGTCTCTAAAGAGACACCACAGACTGAGGAGGTGGGTGGGTAGGTCATAGATCAGAGCAGATGGATCAGAAGCAACTGTGCTTTGTTCTTTGGTTTAACTATATGCAGACCAACAGCTCATCGCACTCAACGGTGTAAAGGTTAGCATGTCTTACATATCTGAAATCCTTTTCAAATCTCCCCCTCAACTTTGGAAGTAATCTACCTTCTACCAGACAGTCATTCTTCCCTCCCTGTTCCTCAGATAAATACCAGCCAGGCTCACTTTGACTTTTACCTGAACTACTTTTGTCTTTACCTCACATCCAAGTTCAAGCCATAAATAAGATACTTGGCTTTCCTTACACTTAGAAGACAAAACAGATATGTTTTGTATACCTTTCTGATAACAAAGCAGCATAACTTCACTATGCTTACATAAAAACTGTTAGGTTCCCCTATAAAAACCATCCACTTCTTAGATTGTAGTCAGCAGCATTTTATGAGTTGAAATCAAAGTTTTGGTAAAATAATCTGACCTGCATAACTGTCAGGATAACCCTGACTATAGTCAATCACACATACAGGAGACACTCCAGGTGAAAAACTAACAACCTTCTAGTGAAGTGACAGTGCAGATCACTCCACCACAAAGTCAGCTAGATAATTGGTTTCTGAAACCAGTGAAAACTTGCTTGTAGCATAGTCTGCTCTACACTGTAGATTTGTTATCAGAATAATAATAATAATATTGTACAGCATGAGCTTATGGAGCCTGATGGGAATTCAACAAGCTTATGTAAGAATAACTTTTCTATGATGGAATAAACCCCAACCTCTGATTAGACTTTCTCAAGAATGGGAAAACTATGCAGAGAACACTTGTGACTCAGAATGAGAAGAGTACACTGATACCACCTTGAGGTTTTGAGCATTCAAGCTTACTCTGGGCTTTAAAAGGGGGACATGAATATCAAAGTTATTTTCCTCCACTAAGCCAACAGCTTTCACAGCTCCAGGAATCCCAAGGACCATGGCTAGTTGTTAATTTACCCAGGCTTTGCAGCTTTGTACTATTTCCTACCTACATAAAATTGATAAATCATAACCAGCAGCTCTGAAAAGTAAAAAAAATATGTTACATAATTTTCCACTTTATCTCTACATGACAAAATTTTTTAAAATAATGTTAAGTGTATTGGTCACATGTTTAGGGGATACCCTACCTCTTATCTAATGACTGCTTATCATGGATGATAGAAAATGGATGGATGCTTGTTTTATGTTGGTTGTATGTTTGTCACCATGTGCTTTAACTACTGTGAGCCAGAGTTGACTAATTACAGACCTCAGAACAGGTTAACATGAACTGTTAAAATATAAATTCTTAAAATGAAATTATATTGGATATTGTTTATTCAATATTATTATCAATTTGGGATGTTTTACAATAAAAATCAAAGTGTTGGTGGTACTAATTAAGAAATATTTGCACTTATGTATGATGGGAAATGCAACTTTTTATTACTCATAGAAGTAAGAAACTTCTATTCACCTGCAAGTGGAAATAAAAAGTACCTAGGATCCATTTTAGTGAAAATTCTGCAATAAACTCAATTATGCGTTAGAATGAAAAAATGCAGGGATTTGTTGACTTTGTGTGAATTTCCACAATACATTGCAAAAAGTGGAGGGACTGATGTAATTCGGCAGATAAAACCTGCTGTGATTTGATTGATAAAATAATGTCAATCAAATCACAGCAGCCATCTATTTTCACGGCAGAAAATGAATTGTCAGAGATTCAAGAGTGTGGCTAAGCACACCGTTACCTTGACGGTTCTATTTATCTAAAATCCATTACTTGACCATGAAGTGTAATGGACCGTTACGCATCAATCCATCGGGTGAAAAAAATGGTGACCTTTATGGATGAAAAACATAACAAAAATATACATTTTTGAAGTAATTATGAGTTTTAGTAATTTTTTGTTAATAGGACAATTAGAACATATTTAGGCCAACATCCATCTATCCACCCATTTTCTGTACACTTTTGTCCCTCGAGGGGTTAGGAGGGGTGCTGGTGCCTATCTTCAGCGAACGTTTCGGATGAGAGGCTTAGGCCAACATGTTAAACGAATTCTGGATCACTTTAAAATCAGACTAAATTTTGTTTATGTCCAACTTCCATTTATGTTCTCTCTTTAATCAAAGAAGGTGACTGATGAACAAATGAACACCCCACGAAGGGTCCAACCATGGCCTAGGATGTGTAAGGAGCAGGAGCAGCTGGCACAGGTCCGAGGCAGGACTGCCCCGTCCAGAAAGCCTGTGAGCAAATCATAAACAAAATGCTCTTCAGTTTGTGTGGTGTTTTGTAAGGTACCTGTAATATACTTACGTCCCGTTTTTCCTCAGAATACTCTCCTAAAGTGATGTATGTTGCACATGCTACCAGTCAGTGATTGATTTGAAACAAAGCTATTACACTGTAAATCTTTAAAACTAGAAAATATTTCAACATTGTCATTGTTTTAATTTGTAATGTAAATTCAAATTCCAAATGACCAGTTGTGTATTTTTAATATCTGGTGACTGTTTAAAAATTGTGATCCAGTGCCTTTTGGTACTTTTAACTTATAATTATAGCTATTAGCAGTTTAACTGGTAGGGGCTTAAGTGCAGGTGTCCGGGTTCAGATTGAGGTCTTGGTATGTGCCCTGGGACATTAGGCCCACATTTGGTTCTTCCCTAATGTCCTTCCACTGCTCTGATCTAACGATTAGTTGGATCTCTTGTAAGTTTACAAAATTTTACTGAGTAAAGTAGATTTAAACTGAACACATACTTCTACAGTCTAGGGCTGAATATCTTCACTACAGCAGTAATTTCTTCAGAGTAAACGTAAAAAGCCACAAAGCACTAATTGGCTTTTCTGAATCAATGCTCAGAACAAAAGACTGAGGAAAAGGAGGTCGCGTGTACAAAAACTTCACCGCTTTCATGCATCTACAAAGAGGAAAAAAATCTTAAGAAATACAAAAAGGCAAAGAAATTAAACAAAGTTTAGGCCACATCATCAAAACAGTAATTGCTGAGAAATAAAAGAAAGCAGATAAAAAAATGGGAACATCTAGTTTGTAACATTGCCGTTTGTAACATCTAGTTGCACAGAAGCTGTGCAACTAGATGTTACAATGTACAAATGAGAGTTTGGAATGTTTGTATCTTTGGAAAAGATGAGAGCTGAGTGAACAAAACCACATCAAAGTGAAGGTGGCAGTCCATAGAAACACGTGCTGGATGCGAGAACATTTAAACCTTCCAGGATTTCATTCTGACAAAAAACAGTGGAAATCAGAAAAAAAATTACCGTATTTTCCACACTATAAGTTGCATCTAAAAACCTTCAATTTCCTCAAAAGCCGTCCATATATAATCCGGTGTGCCTTATATATGGACCAATATTGAGCCACAACAGGTCTAGCAACTACGGTAAGCAACCGCCGACTTCATTTTTGCCCGTAGAAGAAGCGCGCGGTGCGTGCTGGGATAGTTGTCAGAACATTGTTTGTAAGCTATTAATAAAGTTTGACTGACCTATCTACCTAGCGACCGTCTAGAATCAGGTCATCTCCAGGTCATTTAGCACCACGTTCTCCACCAACATGCTGTGTACGAACGGAGAAGGGTGACCATCGTCCGGCCACGCCCTGGTCCAGTCACGGAAGGCTCTCCTCGCCAACCAAAGTCGGACTGTTTTGTTGACATTCCCTGTAGTGCAGCTCCATCTAGTGGATGCAAAACATATCTTCGGCCTCTAGTGTAGTGTCTATTCCAGGGGTCCCCAAACTTTTTCCTGTGAGGGCCACATCATTTTTCCCTTCTCTGGTGAGGGGCCGGAGTCAGTTTGTAACAGAAAAATCTGACGATTGCAGGAGTGCCTAAATGTAAAAATGTATTATTTTCCAGAAAGCACAATCGAATAACCCTCTCTGGGCTCTTCACAGAATAAATCCAGGAAGTATTTTCCAAACTATGAGCCGCACCGGCCTATAAGCCACAACCCCAAAGTTTTTTTGTTTTAAACCAGAAGACACACATATAAACCACAGATATCTCTGCCGCTCCAGGTTTTCCACAGCGATGCAGCAGAGGGGGGCGGACAGCCAACATTTGAGTAATAACTGGTCAACTGAATATTACATTTATTACAGTTGAAAAAGAAAAAGTTGCCAAGTTTAGATTTAACTGAACTGATTACGTAGTTTCAGAACTGTAACTGTAAAAGTGCTGATCCTTTGTGTCTGCTACTAGCATGTGCTAAATGAAAATAGGCGCCACCTTCTTCTTCTTTAGATTTCAATGGCAGCTTGCATCCATTATTGTTACACT